TTACTTTTTAGTCTCAGTTCCACTTTAGCTACACACAGCCCCCGCAGCCTGTGTGTGTGCGCGCTGTTTGCTATTGTTGTGCGCAGCGTGGCAACTTTGGCGCTGGTTTAGCTTACGCCTGGGAATTATTTGAGTGCTTTTTACAGGCGTCGAACCCATCCCGCTCAGTCAACATCCCTATCGCGATCCTAAGCGTGTGAAAGTGCAGACGCCAACAACCGCTGAATGTATCAAATAAAAGCCTGCTCACAATGTATGTGTGTGTTGTGTGTGAGTGTGTGTGTGTGTGTGTGTGTGTGAATTTTGACAGATTTGAAAATTATTATGCAAAATGAATAATTTAGTTGAAAGTGTTAAATTGATTTTGCCCTTTCGCAACACACAGACCCACTCCCACCCACAGAACGTCGGAGATGATGGCAGTTGCTGGCATGATTGTCAGCGCTGATGGGCATTTCCTCAGACCATTTTCCCCAGCCACCTAACCCTACCCAATTTCCCAATCTACACACTTAATAACAACCCACCTGGCAGGCCATTAAAAGCAGCTTAAGAGGGTGGAAATGATAGCAACTATATATTTGAGTCCAAATAATGCACGCGCTGTTGCTTAACTTTGTGCAGTTAAAATCCAGTTTATAGAGCTACTTACTTCAACTTTTTAAGAGGCAGCGGGGTTAACTGGGCCGTAATTTAGGGCCATATTCATATCATTTAACATGCTGGCTAAAATAAGCTCATATAGCTGTGAAACTGCGTAAAGTGTACTCCATTCAATATGTTTCAAAATATTCTTTCTTTAATCTCCAACATCTTTGCCAGAACTCAAAATGCTTGCAATGCTTGTCCAGGGTTTGACCTCTAGATAGCTTATGAATTACATTGACAAAGTGAATATCAAAAATGTTAGCTATAAATATTCGAGAACAAATCCGATATTAAATTTATAACTGTGCAAAATTTACGAATGTAGCTACAAGATTCCAGAACAAATCTATTTTATGAATTAAGTAATAAAATGAAATTAAAAATCCAAAAAGAAACTTTCTTTAAAAATTTAATGGCAATTTTCAATGAATATTAAATTAAAATAAATGAAAGGAACCCTAAAACAAAAGTTTTACATTTAAATCTTTCCACCGAATTTGTTAATAAATTTTAATGTCGAAATTCCATAAACGAACATCAGACAAAACTCTATCATTTAAATATTTAAATAAAATGTTCTGCGAAAGTTAAATCGTATAAAAAATTGTTGCTACCAAGAAAAAAGTTTCCTGGCCTTAAAACTTCCATAAGGTTAACAAAAATCACACGATTTTCATGTGAAATAATAATATTTCTACTTTTTCTCTAGACTAGTTCTGCATTTAAATCTGCAATATTTCATTATGAAGTTTAATCTTAAATTATTAATGAAGTTAAGGCACGCCATATTTTGGCAGAATGAAATCGATTTTTATGATTGACTCTGCATTTAAATGTGGACACACCTTTGTGCTTATTTATTGTGTCTTAATACAAATTACTTTTGGACTAAAAATCTTGCAAATTATAGACGCAGCTCTGCCTAGCCGAAAAATTGTAAAACTTTTCTACTATTTAACTGATTTTAACGATTTTAACCTCCAGATAAATGGCTTCTTCAATTTGCAAAGCCAATTTGTTTAGATTTTTGTTGTCCGACTTTATGTTTCAATTATTCGAAATCTATTCTAAGAAAGCTCCATTATCTTAAAATTTAGAGAACCTTGTCAAAATTCAAAAAGAGGAATGCTTTTTTTGTGGATATTCGGCCTTCAGCTTGTATTTTAAATCGGAAATAATATGTTATTGCCTTCAAATACTTCTCAAAAATTCAAAAAGAGTAGCTTAAGTTTTGTATACCCTCAATTCTGCCCCAACCTTGTCAGAAGTCAATCGATTTCTTAAAAGCTAACAAGAGTTTAAATAATTAAATCCAGCCCATAAATGTTGATTAAAAACGTTCCAAACTTCAACTTCCCAACGATTGACCAAACCTGAATCGATTTGCGACTTGGTTTACACTCTGGCTTAATTCTGGCATCTAAATTGCATTCATTAATAAAGTTTCTTTGCTTTTGGGCATTTTATGTCCCCTGTCTAAACAGACCTGCCCAATGCAACACCTTTCTGTAATCAGGGCTGGCTGGCATTTGCAAGTGTTCCGGTCGAGTACTCGACAACATTTCGACTATCTATCTGGCTGGATATCTGTGAACGAGCTCAGTTTCTTGTAACCTGTCGTCGAGGCACGCCTACCTCAGCTTGGTCACAGTTCCTCTACGCCCACTTCTGACGTCATTTGTCAAAATTTGGCAGGCCCAGGGCCAGGCCCCGCCCAAACTCTGGCCACACACACATAACTCATACCATGCCCTGCTCCCAGTCCAACTGCGAGTCCTGCTCGCCGTGGCTAATATTGACATTCCTAATCTGTGCAGCGCCGTGTGGTGGCCGTTAAAATGCCGTGTCACATCGTTAGTATGCGTGTGTGTTTCTATTTGTTGAGGTCGCCAGTTGGCTTAGCCTGATCATCGGGTCTGCTTGGGTTTGGTTGGGGGGTTAGGACTCTTTGTTGTATTCTGGTTTTTCGGCTGGGTGTGTTTTGTTTTTGATTCATGCCGCGCTATCAGCGCTGGGCGTGTTTCGAGCTATCGCTGATGCCACCCACCCGCCCTCATTTATATATTTGATGATGACATTGCGAGGCCAACCGGCCAAAGGACGAGTCCGGTAGCCAGTTTATTAGTTTAAGTAGCTGCCTCATTGGCAGTGATTAGCGTTCGACTCAAGCCAAGTAACAACAAAGTGCTGGCGGGCGCTGTTTCGAATCGCTTTTTAACAACGCTGCAATTTTGTGCGTCATGTCTGATGACCGGCGGCGGCAGCAGTAGCCGCAGCCGGAGACGTAGCCGGAGACGGAGTCGGAGCCGGAGCCGCAGCCGGAGTCGGAGTTGGAGTTCAATGTTGTCTTGGACGTCATGTTGTTACTTTCTTGCAGCGCACTCAACTTGACGGTTTTTTCTACACGCTTTTTTTTCTACTTTTTTTGCAAATTGTTAGCAGCCCGCCTGCAGCGAGCAGGCTCCACAAGAAAGACCCTGAGCCAGACCCCGAACTCTGCTCTGTATTTGCCCAACCTGTGTAAAGTGCAGCGCAGACAAACACAGAGAGAGAGAGAGAGAGAGAGAGAGAGAGAGTGGGACTCTGGTTCAGACGGCCAAGCTGGCAGCCAGGCCAGGCCAGAACACGGGCCAAAAGCGATTTGCCTTGCCAAAAGCTGCATGACTAACTTTGTAGTTATGCTAGTAGTTGTGCTTGTGTGTGTGAGCTGGTGCGACAACACAAGTGTTTTAATTTTACGACATTGTATGAATTTTACTGCTGGCACAGCAGAAACATCAGCACCGCTGTTACATATCGTTAGCTTCCTTAACGGACGTATCCCACATCTTTCCCAGCCGTCTGTTGCCACACACACACACATACACACCACCTCCCCATTACCCTCCCCCAGCACAGCCGGCCCTGCAGCGTGTTGTCTGTGTGCTCATAAATTGCAGCTTGCAAGCTTCAGTGCAATCAGCGTCATCAGCTTCATCCGGCCCTACAGCTGGAACAAACCAACCATGGGGCCAAAAAGAACGGGTTTAAAAACCGCAAAATTTCGAAACGATAAAACCAAAAAAAACATAGCGTGCTTAACGAACCCATTCTGAACTCTAGACTCAATCAAAACGCAAGTGAATCATTTGAATCATTCGATTCATTCATTTCCAATTGAACTTAAAAAAGTTGTTAGGGAATCGATTTTTATTTCACCAGAAATTGAACTAGTTTTGACTTGGTTCACGACACGTACTTTAACCAAAAGTATCTATTCATCAACATCTATGCGAATATGCCCTAAAATGCAGTTCTTGGAACTAGTTGAACTTGTTAGGAACAGGAACGAGCACTTCAATTGAAACTGCTTGTCACAGAAAGTTTCACATCAGCAAATATTGTTCGCTGCTTCCAAATGATTTAGTTCTTGGAGCTAGTTATCAGCCAGCTTCTTCGTAAAAGATATGGAACTAGTTCCGAACCTCAACAGTTCGTGTGAAGAGCTTCAATTACAGATATTTATTTAGGGAATTTCTTGCTATTGACAAGAAATACACGCTGCTCCAAAATTATGCTGTTCCTGGAACCAGCTGGCTTCGTATTATGTGAAGTAATTGTAAAGGAAATTAAATTGGTTTGGAAGTGCAATTTCAAATAAGGCAGCTTGTAAATATAAAACAGAATGTTTGCTGCTCCGAAATGAATCAGTACTCGGAACCAGTTGTAGTCAAATGTTGTATTTTTTTTGGCCCACTGTCGCTTAACTGCCGTCACTTAACGTTAACAGTTTACGCTTGCCTGCGGGCTAAAAAGGCTGGCGTTGCAATACACACACACACTTGCATAGTTACACATTCACACACACATTCACACAGACACATACGTGTGCGGCTCGACGCTCCGCGCCATCTTTGCCTCGCCATCATTTTTGGTGCTGCTGTTGCGCTAACTGCGTAAAGTTGGCACTTGAAACTGTCAGCTTAAATATGCCAGCTGCACACACTGACACACACACATACACACTCGCTTCATACACACACTTCACACACACATGCGGCTACTACATAAAGTGCACAAAATGGTCGACGCATAGCGAAAGTTGTTGCCGTAAGTTACAGAAGCAGCGACTCTTACGGCTCCTCGCAGTCTGGCGGGCCATAACTTTGGGCTAACACCTCCCCTCCCCGCCCTTGCCCTTCGCGTTCCGCTCAGCGACTTACCATAAATGCATTTTTAAATGCCAGGCTACAGCTAAATTAAGCAGCATTTGCCATTTGCGCTTTACGCGCTCATTCGTTCATTTGTGCTGATACTTTTTCACAATTTTCCTCATATTTCCTCTTTTTTCTCATTTTCTCATTTTGTTGCAGATGGTGACGAGAACGAAGAAAATCTTTGTGGGCGGCCTCTCGGCGCCCACCACGCTGGAGGATGTCAAAAGCTACTTTGAACAGTTTGGTCCGGTAAGTAAAAACCCTTTGCTACAAAAAGAAAAACAACACACAAAAAAAGCGCAGAAAATAAAAATGAACTAGTTCTTTTGTACGAACCATAAAGCAATGTCTGCCAACTTGTAATAATAATAATGAAAATGAAAAATCAGACTGACAGTTGCCCAAACGAATCATGCAATTTATGCGCACTGCGCGTGTTCCCTCTATAAACTATATATATAAATATATCTGTATATATATTTCTGTGTGTGTGTGTGTGTGTGTGTATAGGTAGTATCTGCTTATAAGCCCTGCTGAGCAATGACACCTTCACTGGCTGCCACTTGCCACAGTTTGTTTGATCAATAAAAATGCCAAAAAAAAAGAAAAACATCACAAAAAAAAAATTTGTAAAAAAAAATTGGAGAAAAGGAATATATGTACTATATATATCCGTGGCAAATTCAATCTTGACAAGTACTGCAAGGCACAGACGATGGCCCGACACGTCGATGCGGCGCCTACAACCCCAACATTTTGCCCAAAATTCTCTGTAGCAAGGCAAACTCCACTTAAACAGCAGCTTACACACATCCATAACGAGTGTTTCTGTGTTTGGAGGTGTGCGAGTGTGTGGGTGCGTGCGAGTGTGTGTTTGCGGCTGAGTGCTGTTCGAGTGCTCTTTAAGTTCTCCATTCAACCAGGTTTGCCAAGGGGGAGGGGCGTGACTGACAGAGACTTGTTATAGCGCACAAAACAAATTTTTAGCACGAGTACAAAAATTGTTGTGTTCTTGATTGCGATACTAAACGAAAATCGATTTGTTTCGACGCTCTTCGATTTTAATGAGCGCCCAGTATGCCTAGTAGTTGCTTCAGACTGCATTCGGTGTGTGTGCAGCAAGGATTTCATTAACGATATGCAAAATGTTTCGTGCCAGTCCGCCCCGCCCTATGCTTCAAGGCTCTACGCATGCTTAAGCATAAATCCTTAATAAGGATAAGCCAAAGTGAACGAACAGTATAAATTGCTAGGTTGAATATGAAAAGCTACATTAAGATTTGCCTTAGATTTGATTTTAAATGATTTTCACATTTTATTTGGCATATATGTTTTTTATAGAAAATTGGGAATTTATATGCAAATGCAGTTTAAAGCTCATATATTTCAGTTACTCTTTGAGGACTGTTATCGCAAGCTAATATTGCATATATTTTATACGACTTAATGCTCTTATTTTGTGTTTGAAGCTTTCAATTATATCCCACAGCGACTCAGAAGTTCATTTGGAGTCAATTTATTAGGTGTTTACAAAACATTTATTTAATACATAAAGCTTAAAGCTCGTAATTTGATATAGTTTAAAGCTCTTATCTCTTAAAGCTTTTAGTTTAACTTAAAAGTATTGTCGCATAACTTTTGTGGACTTACATAAAAATGTCTATCAAAAGCGTATAAGTTTTGCACAACATAAAGCTCTTGTGTGATATTAAAGCTTCCAACTACATTTCGCTTGTTTTTCAATATATATTTGTAATAAAACGAGTGACCCGTAAGCTTATGAACTGCACACAAGAAATCTTTCAAGAGATTTTGAAGCTTCTTCAAGGAAAGTTTCTTAAAAGTGTAGTAAAAGGATTAAACCAAAAGCTCTGGCGCTGCACACAAAAAATAAAACTTAAAGCTTCAATGCGCCCTTACAGCTCGTGCAATACAATGTTTAACAAGTACATTCGAACTCTAGTTAACTTTTGTAATTGCGTTGCACTTTTAAATTGGCTGCTACACGAAAAAAAAAAAATTGTATCTGTTGTTGGCACTTTTTCAGCTGAAATTACATTATGAAAAACTGAAAGCTGGCAACTCTCAACAAATTTTCATGCGGAAAGCCGCATTTTTTTCCTGCAGCCTTGGCTATATTCATTGTTTTGTCATTAAATGCGGCCCCACATTCCGCGAAACTCTCGACGGATTTCGAAACTTCACTCAACGGCCAGGTGAAACGCTACCAATTGAGGAGATGGGTGGTGGGGCGGAGGGGTTGGTGCAAGGGGCAAGCGGCAAGCGGCAAGTTGGCAGCCTCCTGATAATTGACACAAATTGGCGCAACTTTTTGTCAGCTCTTCAACCGCCAGCACGTCAACTGGCATTTGCGATGCCTCATTGCGTCCGCGCCCACGACGAGTCGATAATGCGAATATAATGACGATGCCCCCGGCTCCCAATCATCAGGCCCAAACACCTGCCTCCGCTCCCGGGCATGGCACATAAACGCCCATCAATCAAATCAGCGCTGTGCAAAATGCTTTTAAGTAATTTTCATCATAACTGCGAATGAAGCTGTCAAAATCCATAACGATCAAATAGTTGAAACACCTAACAAAATGGATATTTCATAGGTGGGCGTGGGTGTGGGCGTGGGTGTGGGCGTCGGCGTGGGGGTGGGCCAAAGCCGAGTCTGGCGATTTGCGACTCGAAACAAAGGCGAAAGGAACTTAACCAAGCGCGAATTCCTAATGGCAAACTTTTCAATTAATCCGCATTTGCAAAAAGAAAAATTATAATAATAACTTGGCGCGCACAAAGGGCTCACATTGAGGGTAGTCCTCCCCCAAATCTCCCTCCCTCTTGTTCTGAGCAAAAGTTTCGACAGGCAAACAACAGCGGACGGGCAGAGCTGGCCCGGCCAGGCAGCCCTTGGCCCTGGCTCCACACTACTTGGCCAAGTTATTGATTACAACTAATCCCCTTTTGGCTTTTGCCTGCCGCCTCATTGAGCAGCGGCTTGGCAAAGAGATTTGCGCCGCCGCCCATAAACAAAATAGCAACTGGCCCGCCGGCTCAGACGTCGGCCAGCTCCTTGTGTAGTCCGTATCCGTGTCCGGATCAGTGGACTGCCGTGTACACCAGGGCAGGTGGCCAGCCAGGCGTTAATGACTTTATCGGCCATTTTTCTTCGGCAATAGATGACAGGGTAGGGGCTGGGGGGATGAGACCGACGGCAGAAGGAAGATTGCCTTTGTCGTTGTCAGTGCCATTAGAGACGGCACACGGTAAAGATTGATTAGCCGGGATGACACAGTCAGGCGCAGGAACAGAGCCATTCAATATGATTAATAGTTGTTGCATGTTGCGTAGAATGGCGACAATCACAACAATAGCAACAAATATATACCGTCGATTGCCCGAATAGGCGAAATGGCGCAAACAACATCCAGATATTGTCTATATAGAAATTTATGGCCCGAACAACCAGCCAATTTCATGTTGCCAGCGCAAATATCTTCTTTCTTTATTTATTTTTATATACATATATATTTTCCTCTGGTTTTTCGCGCATTTTGTATTATTTTTCACTGTCGTGTCAGCGGCACATTTTATTTGCATTTCATTTTATTGTACGTTTTAAATGTTGCATTGCATTGTTTGCAATTCTTGTTCATTTTGTAAAAGTTTGGCTAGCGAATAGCTCTACGAATTCCGCATGCCCTAGCATCAGACACTTTTGTGAAACATTTTCAACTTTTGTCGAATAAACTTTCTTCTAAAGGTATTTCACATACAGATAAGCTTTAGTAATTGAATATATGGCTTATGATATGAACCTTCCCTATTAAGATTTCAAACTAGTTTTCAAATGAAACGGTTCGAATCAACCGCGAACCGAACATCAAAGCTGAGTAGCAGCTCAGAGGGGACTTAAACTGAACTGAACCACAATAGTTCCAAAGTGGGTCTCCTCTAATACAATATTTTTTTTCTTCTCTTAGTTAATTAATACAATTTAACAATAGTTTAAGCTAAATAAAGGGTAAAGATAGTTTTAATTCATGAATAAGTTTATTCATTTTCCTTAATTAAAATATTACTAAATTAATTCATAATAAATAGAGCAATATGATCCAAAAATGAGGTTCAGATAGAAGAGTAGGTGCACGGAACATTTTTGTCAAGTTTGCTGGCCTGTTCTTATCGCCCTTTTATCGGCCTAGGCGTGCATTTGGCGATAACTGATTTACCTTAAATTCTGCTGGGCTTGCCTTAAACAAACTCTAAAATAATGAGCTTAAGCGTTCAGATTTCCTTTTTACAACATATGAAATATATATTATGTGCATATATACGCTGCTTAAGAGCTTATATTTATGTGCGTTACTTGCTTAACAGCCAAGTTTTAAGACCCCACTGTGTGAGGCTATAAAACTGTAGCTCTTGCGCTCTTTCTCCTCTCGACCGCTCTATTTGCCCCTTGTGTCTATCTCTGAATGTGCGGGGCGCTCATTTGCAAACAGATACATTGAAGGGGCAGAGACGGTGGCAGAGGCCAACCATTTGCAAATCTGGCGACCCCTGGCATAACCCGAGCCCGCACATAAGCCCGATAGTTGCCACACCTTTTAAATGCAAATCAGAGAAATGTTTTTCTCTCAGCTCCGAAATAGGAAAACAAAACGAAACCAAACCAACAAAACAAATGGCAAATTTCAAATTTTCAGTGTGCAAGTTTTTAGTGCAAATGCTTCACATTTAACTGGCACACCAAAACGCACACACACACACACACACACACACACATAGACGCAGACACATGCAGTGGACCCCAAACTGACCTCAGCTGCTGCAACCTTTGCCACTGATTTTATTGCAACTGCTGCAGCTGCTGCAAGCGCTACGATAACACAAATTTCACATGCGGCAAGGGGCGAACGGGGCGTGCCAGGGCGGGGCAGGGCGGTGCCACTAAAGAGTGAGATTCAGAACAGAAAGCAACAAAATAATAAAAAAAAAAAAGTGGAAAAAAAAACTGAAATAGAAAACCAGGCAACAAAACCAACAAAAAATGCAAAGCTCTTTGGCTAAAAAATTGCAAATAAACTACACATTTTGCAAAAACCCTCCGCAGCCTCCCAGCCGCTCCCTGCAACCTACCCGGCCCTTCGTAGCCCGGCTCGTAACACGCTCTGCAACAAGCCTGAACTATGGCTCGAGGTATGGAAATTGCAGTGGCCAGTATCAGGCAGCCTGCAGAC